ATTGATTGGCTGCCTCCTGCACGCCTCAAATGTGATCGAGTCCGGAACCCGGGCATGTGCCCTGACTGGGAATCAAACCATGACCTCCTGGTTCATAGGTCGACGCTCAACTACTGAGCTACACAGGCCGGGCATGCTGCTTTTTTACGAGGGAATATAACTGGCGAACGTTCATGCTGATGGGTATTCTGAGAGCACGCCTATCTTCATCAGGGCTTGAGATAAAGTCCTAATCAAAGTGGTCATGACTCCTTTTGAAGCTGCACAGGAAAGCTCTAGGAAGCACAGTTTAAAAGACTCTCGTTCACAGGAAACTCCTCCTTTATTAATAATATTCAGAAATTTGTTTCTGGTCTGGCTTTGGTAACTTGCTGTGCTAAAAGAAACCTCATAGGAATTTGGACAGTTTTTTGGGGAAATCAAATCCAAAAGGTTAGGGTGGGGCTTGCAGGTCATTAATTTCAAGGGACATTGTTAGCCACCACTTGCAGTTTGGGCATGGGAGAGCAAGACCCAACAGGGGGGCATGTTGGTGTGTTTAGGGTAGCCATTCTCAGTGTAAAACTATCTTTACCTCTCCTCTTTGAACTGGTAAGGTCTAATGTCCTTTGATGGAGTTAATTTTACTGTGATAGCAGATTTACCCAGAGATGATCCTTGCATAATTCAGGCCTGATTATCTCTCTGGAAAGATGGGTCCAAAATATCTCATGGAGATATTCTATTAGCAAAGGGCTTGGATGACTTAGAAACATTGGTGGGTTATGCTAAAGGTGGACACGATACTGAAATTCTGGTGGGTGTTTGCGTTGGTTAAGAGGGGTAGGTAAAAGCAGGAAGGAAGGCACTTGCACTTCCAGGAAGATGAGGTAGACAGTTTTCTCTGTTCCTCCTACTAAGCACAACTAAGAACCTTAGACATTACATATAAAACAAACATAGGAGGACTGTTAGAAGTGGAGAGAGAAAGGCAGGCCAGTTAGGGACCTCAGAGCCTGAGGAACAACTCCCTGAAGAGTTCTCTGGGTTTTAGTTTTGCTTCATTTATCCCAGACTTGGAGCTAATGAAGCTGGCAGCCTGGAAACATTAAAGTGAAGACAACAAAAGGGTCAAGAAAAACCTGTTCTCTCTTTCCAAAGGACCAGGAAAGGGGCACCCTGGCATGACAGAAATCTTTTAGGTAGTAACCACTGTGCTTCAGCCAAACAGCACAGAAAAACTGTGACCCCACCCACACTCACCCCAATCAAGGCCAAGGGGGAGCCTTGACTTCTACCCTAGCTGGGCTGCAGCAAGGCTCCCCAACATCCCCCAGCAGAGTGGTGCCAGAGAAGGCAGAACCGAGAGCCAGAACCTTGAACTCTGCCAGCCGGAATGAGGCACACCCCTCCGCAGTGTGAGGGCAGGTCACATTGGGAATTCCCGCCCCTGCACAGCTTGCACCAAGTGCCCTTCTCCTTAAGGGTCAATGGAGGCCCAGAGGGGAACCTGGGCTTCTAGCTCCACCTCACAGTTACAAGGCAGTGCTTCCCTTTTCCTGCCATAGTGGTGTCAGAGGGAGTCACAAGAAACAGGAGGTTTAAAATAGGATGAAGATTCTTATACTATGAAAATGCCCATGTTTCAATAACAATTCTTTCATCCTGTCAAGAACCTGATAATCTCAAACTAAATATAAAAAGACAATCAATAGATGCCAACACCTAGAACAGAGAACTAGCCACATAAATTTTTTCAATGAACAATTAGAAAACATGCTTGAAAAAAGTAAAAAATAAAGGGGGGGGGGGGGCAGCCAGCATGGCTCAGTGGTTGAGCATTGACCTATGAACCAGGAGGTCACGGTTTGATTCCAGGCCAGGGCATATACCTGGGTTACAGGCTCCATCCCACTGTGGGGTGTGCAGGAGGCAGCCAATCAATAAGTCTCTCTCATCATTGATGTTGCTATCTCTCTCTCCCTCTCCCTTCCCCTCTGAAATCAATAAAAATACCTTTTTTAAAAAAGGAAGTCTCAACAAAGAAATCTGAGATATAAAGAAGAACCAGATAGAAGTTTTAGAACTGAAAAGTACAATAACCAACATAAAAAGCTCAGTGGGTGGGCTCAACAGCAGAATGGAGGAGACAGAAGAAATAGTCAGTGAACTGGAAGCTAGGACAATAGAAATTACCCAATCTGAACAACTGAGAGAAAATAGACTGAAAAAAAAAAAAAGTGAATAACCCTAGCCAGTTTGGCTCATTGGATAGAGCATCGGCCTGTGGACTGAAGGGTCCCAGGTTCGATTCTGGTCAAGGGCATGTACCTTGGTTGTGGGCACATCCCCAGTA